ATACCACTGAACCCTCATATTGTGTTCAAGTCATTTTGACCTGGAGAGGATTTTCTTTTTTCTGAAAATGCTAGTTTATGTTATAGCATTGGACTAAAACTTACTGACTTTGCCCACACAGGGTTTAACAACTTCACCAAAAATCAATCAAACAGTCAAAAAAATATATTTATTTTCTTTGGAAATAATTGATCGTTGGCCTCATTGTTTTTTTTTTGTTTTTTTTTCAATCAAAAACTGAGGTGGATAAGCTCAGATCAATAAGGCCTACGATCAGTCAGCTCTAAACTAAGAAATACAAAACCTGTGCTAACAGAAAGAAAACGAGTTAACACAAATATACGCAACCCAAGATTTGGGGATAATACAGCAAAATGAGAAATTTACAAACAAGACCGATTATTTTTGACTGGGAACACCAAATTAGGTAAAAGATTTTCAGCACAGAGCAAGGGTTGCATCATACCACCTACTTTTATGGAGATGTTTGGTCTTTTTCTGAGCTTTTTAGAGAACCAGAGGTAAATATGATTTTTGCAGAGCAGGAAATCTACTTAAAGGTGTTTTGTTTTTTTTTATGTTGAGGAAATGATGACATAATTCATATGTGTACTATTGTGTATTATTCCTTTAATACCATGCCAGTTAAGACTAAAACTAACAGCAGAAAATGATTCTGGAAGAATTAAGTCATCCAGCTTACATACGCCAGCGCTAAAGCCAGTGCTTCTGAGTCATAGATGAATTTCATAAACATCCTTGAGGGTCAGGTGCGCTAAAAAGTGGGCTGTGCCCTCCCTGCCAGAAATAGATAGGCTAATGGTGGCACGTTATGAAAATTAATCTAGCCAACCTTTGTGCTGCCTTCTGCTTCTGCATCACTAAAAGCCCCTGTCAAAACGTCAAATCGAATTAACGATCGGTCGTGTCAGGAGAGGGCTGGGTTTGGCCGCAGCCCATCTCATGTCTTCTTCTTCCCGGAGCCCCGCAGCTTGTTTTAGCGCTGCTGGATACATCGCCTCCAATAGCCATCAGCGGCACCTACCACCTGATCTATAATTTCATAAGTGTGTAGAAATGGCCTTGTCCCGAGCCTCATATAATCAATCAAAGCCCCTGCTTGCTCACACACACAAACACACACACGACTGTGTAACCTGTAGCGCGGCGTGTAATAACATCCCTAAAAATAAGGCAGTAATTGATTTTCCTAGCTGTCAGTCTCCCTGGTGAGAGACTTTGAATATCGCATCACCACGTGGCGGCAGATTATTATTATAACAGACCGATTTCCCTCAAGGATTCCCTACGATCAACTCTGCAGAAAAACGGCAGAGGTGAGAAAAGGAAAAAGAAAGATAACCAGAAAAAAAGGAGCAGCGCATAGTAACTTAACAATACCGAAAAGGGCAACGTGGGAAATATGAAAACCTTTCAAAAACAAATATGGACAAAACGCGAGCAGGGTTTAGCGAACGCCGTGCAGCCGGCCAACACTTATCTCCCTGCGTTGCTGCCGGCTTTCCTGCCTCTGAGGGCCCGAGGTGGTAGACGTAAATGAGCGGGGCCCAGGAAAGCCTGCTGTGTTTGGGGCAGAGCTGGCAATGTGTTGGGCCCGCAGCCAAAGCCTGATTCCCAGCCCATAGTGGAGAGTGTCAGAGACAAGACAAGCGCTTAGAAATGGAGTTCAGATGTTGCTTTGAGTGGACGCAGGCTTATTGTCATCGCAGGGCTTCAGCGATGCTTCTGCTAAAGACGGCATTGTGCCTATTGTTACATTTCAATTATGCAGCATCATCAACAAAGGCTTGACAACAAAGTTTGTTTGTTTTATGGCTGTATAGTGTGAAGGCCGGTCCAAACATACATTTTAAGGGCATCTTTTTTTCTTTTCTTTTTAAAGGGGTCATCAGACGCCCATTTTCCACAAGTAATGAAAAGTCTATAACTTACTTTGGTTCAAATTTCTCAAATGGTGTGTAAAAAACACCCTTTTTACCCAGTCAAAATCAACTGTTTTCAGCACGCCGTTCTAGTCCATGTTGCTTTAAATGCTAATGAGCTCTGCTGACCCCGCCCCTCTCTTCCGTGGGTGACGAGCCGTTCTCATGATACCGTTTACTTTAGCCACGGAACTTGCTAACTAGCACGTTATTAGGAAAGGCGATTTGCAAAGATTCATAAAAAACCCTTATACTTACTTCTTCTGTAGATGAAGCTGGATCACGAATGATTGGCGCAAACATAGACGCATTTAGGCAGATCGGGGATCAGCGCATTCACATCAAAACGAAAGTAACGTTAATCCTCTGCGTCTTCAGCGGTTCAGATGTCGGGAGTAAATGACGACTGCTATGTTCATTATTACATCCAACAACAAAACACCTCAATCGCTTAATCGGAGACATTCTGCACCGGAGTCGACACAATGGTGGACTGCTGACACCTCACTCAGGGCAGGTCTAAGGTAAGACGGCCTTGTCAATCAACTATCGTGGGAGGGGCCTGTACAGAACTACGTCATTCTGACAAGAACCTCAGAACAGCCTGATTTGAGAAAGGGGATTTTAAAACGGGTGGATTTTTATCATTATAGGATGGATGTGTACACACACTGCCAACACACATTTATGTTCAAACAACAACAAAAGTGAATTTTGCATCCGATGACCCCTTTAACATATACAGTGTATTGGCTGAAAGTGATGTCCAGCCTAGGAAAAGGAATCTTTGCTCTTTATTCAAACATTTTATTATTAAGGATGTTATAAGCATATTGCATAGTTGTGCTTGGAGCGTAAATCTAACGTATGTGCTCAGTTGTTTCATTGGTAATAATGTGATGAAACTAATTCTGCCATAAAAAGAAATAAATAAAAACATAAAAAAATAAACACACACATCACACACAAAACGTATTGAGTACTGCCCTGGAAAATGGCTTCTGTAATCAAAAACAAGGAGAATCAATTAAATATTAAGTATATTCTTGTATTCAGTGTATGCTTTATTTCCTGCGAGCTTGTTGCTTTTCTCACATTTTGTACATAGTAAAATAATTAGCCCTGTGTAACGATTAATCGTGATTAATCGCATCCAAAATAAAAGTTTTTGTTTACATAATATATGTACTGTATGTATACTGTGTATATTTATTATGTATATATAAATACACACACGTGCATGTATATATTTCAGAAAAATATGTTATTTTATATATTAAATATATTTATTTATAATATAAATTATATTAATATGTACACACACTGCCAACACACATTTATGTTCAAACAACAACAAAAGTGAATTTTGCATCCGATGACCCCTTTAACATATACAGTGTATTGGCTGAAAGTGATGTCCAGCCTAGGAAAAGGAATCTTTGCTCTTTATTCAAACATTTTATTATTAAGGATGTTATAAGCATATTGCATAGTTGTGCTTGGAGCGTAAATCTAACGTATGTGCTCAGTTGTTTCATTTGTAATAATGTGATGAAACTAATTCTGCCATAAAAAGAAATAAATAAAAACATAAAAAAATAAACACACACATCACACACAAAACGTATTGAGTACTGCCCTGGAAAATGGCTTCTGTAATCAAAAACAAGGAGAATCAATTAAATATTAAGTATATTCTTGTATTCAGTGTATGCTTTATTTCCTGCGAGCTTGTTGCTTTTCTCACATTTTGTACATAGTAAAATAATTAGCCCTGTGTAACGATTAATCGTGATTAATCGCATCCAAAATAAAAGTTTTTGTTTACATAATATATGTACTGTATGTATACTGTGTATATTTATTATGTATATATAAATACACACACGTGCATGTATATATTTCAGAAAAATATGTTATTTTATATATTAAATATATTTATTTATAATATAAATTATATTAATATAAATATAGACATGTAAATACATTTAAATATTTTCAAAATATATACTGTATGTTTGTGTATTTATATATACACACATAATAAATATACACAGAACACATATATTATGCAAACAAAAACATTTATTTTGGATGTGATTAATCGTTTGACAGCACAACAAAATAATACATATTTTAGAAGAAAATAATAATAATTATTATTATTTTATTATTATTATTATTTTTTTTATTTTTTTTATCTTGTAAGGTCATTAACAGCAAATATTAAGAAATATCCTCTCTGGACATTACTTTTGGCCACTATTGTACATATGAATATACACTACTGGTCAAAAGTTTTATTTATTTATTTATAATCTTTTTATGCTCATAAAGGTTTGATTTACTTCATCAAAAACACAGTAAATATAGCAATTTTGTGAAAATGTATTAGAATTTAAAATAGCTATTTTCTATGTGAATATATTTTGAAATATAATGTATTAATTCAAATAATTCAAAGCTGAATTTTCAGCATCATAACTCCAGTCTTCAGTGTCACATGATCTTCAGAAATCAGTATAATATGCTGCTTTGCTGCTCAAGAAACATTTCTGATTATTATTAATGTTGACAACAGTTGTGCTACTTCATATTGATATTATATTATATATAAACCCATATTTCTATTTACAATTGCTGCTATGCTGTTACCCATCTTTGTGAGAGGGAAAAGAACATCTGCCTAGAAACAACATTGCTAATTATTTGAGAGACAGGAAGCCAAAATGAGAGTAACTAAAAAACAAAACAAAACACCATCCCTTTCATTCAGTCCCTCACTAAGGGCCTCCATTTAGTCCGCAGCCCAAAAAAACTCCATTATCAGGTTGGTTCCTTCCCTTCAGAAGCACAAAAGAAACAAACAATCCATACGTGATCAATTTAATGTACTGTTATAAAAGCTCTCAACCGTTTACACCAATGACATCTAAGAGCTTTCCCAGAACTTTTACCTCCCCGGACCCCATTTACTTAATTAGACAGTTTGCTAATTTCCTGGGCAGCGGTGGTTAATTGCGAGGCTTTTACGGGGATCGGGACGCAGCCGCTCACCTCTCCTGCTCCAGCCTCATTCTCTGCGTCTCCTCCTCAGTGGCCTGAGCTTCCTTCATCTTGCTCTTGCTGGACCCCTTCCGCTCCATCTTGTCCCCTTGCCTCTCGTCTTTGCGATTTTTGCTGAACCTGTGTCAGTGGAGACAGAGTGTGGGATGAATTCAGACGGACTGTTTGTGTTTAAGGTGGTTTCTTTTTTTCAATAAGAGCACTGACATACCTAAAGGAAATTAAACTGTCAGAATATTTGACATGTCAAGGAGAGGAACGACCAGGTATGACAACATATCCCTTCACATTTCCACAAAAAGACTGCAATATAAAAAGTATCATCTTATCTTTAATAAGAAGTAGCAGGTATCTTATATAACACTTCTTTATGCATGTTTCTAAATGCATTGAAATAAAGTTGCACTAGAAACGCCTGTCAATAATAAAGCTATAATAATAAAACTGGAAATTGAGCAACAGTGCAGCTTTATGGAATCAATTCCAACTTATTTCACCAGTAAACAATAAATAAATAAATAAATCCATCCATACATCTCCTGTCTGTCTGTCTGTATATTTATCTATCTATCTATCTATCTATCTATCTATCTATCTATCTATCTATCTATCTATCTATCTATCTATCTATCTGTCTATCTGTCT